ATGAAAGAAAGAAGTTTGAAAAAAGAGTTTAAATAGTGTTATCAATTTCCCTTCTTTTTTCCAACTTGCCATTTTATTTTTCTGTTCCTTTTCCCTGACTATAGGCTTCATTTTCAGACAGGCTTACCTTACGTAGCAACAAAGATGACACCAGCAGGTCCAAGTTTAACTAGTCCTTAGTGTCCTCAGTCTCAGGAGAGAGAACATCTTTTCCTCAACATCTGTACCAGTCCTTAAAATACCCAAATTGTAGTCCTTTTTCACTTAGGAGCAAATCCTTTGCATCTAGTGACCTCTGGTCTTCTCATTAGTTAACCTGGAGTCAAACCCACATCTGTGACAGGAGAGGCTTGATTGATAGTTTTACCAGGTGCATGCTGAGCACCTTCTAGGAGGAATAAATGATGAAAAGAAAGCAAACTAAAGATGTTGACAACATTCCTAATAACCATTTTCTACTTAAATATTTTTAAAAAATATTTATTTTATTAATTATTTTTATTATTATTTTAAGTTTGCTCTAGGATATGTGTGCTCACCAGAAGGAGGCAGAGAGTGAGAGAGAAGGAAAGTAAGAAAGCAAGCCATCTGGGACCAGCAGTTAGCATAATGGCTATGTCGCTGGACTTCCACGTAGTCCACCGCGGTTCGTGTCCCGGACCCGGTGGCTTAAAACTCACGCCGGGTACGTGTGCGTGCGTGCCAAGATCCCGAGAAGAGAATGGAGGAGAAGGGATTGCGGCGTGGCCATCCCTCCTGGGGGGTGATTTCTCGCTTTCTGCCTCTCTGTCTCTCTCTGTCTGGTGAGTGCACGCGCCCTATAGCAAAAAGCTCTCAAAAAAAAAAAAGCAAGCAAGCAAGCTACCAGGTCCAGAACTTGAACGCAGTGACATGTGGGAGTCCAGCACCTTCACTACCACAGCACCTGCTGGTCCCCCATTTTCTACTTCTAACTCACTGTCTTTGGGCTTCTTAGGCTGAGGAAGCTCTGCAGAAATATTTAAACTCCAAAGAGTCAATAAGTGATGCAATTCTACAGACGGACCAGGCTCTCACAGCGAAGGAAAAAGAGATGGAAGGTGAGAAGAACCTGGAATCAATGCAAGATAGACAAGAAATTTCTACGCATTTGAAATCATTTGGCCTGGCCCACCTGAGATCATTAAATTAGAGCGAGAATGGCAAAAACACTTCTTGATTCCTCAGGAATAACTAAATATGGCATGATTAGCTGTGTACAGTTGCCTGGAAGGGAAGAATAACCCAGGAGTTGTTTTTATGAAGTTCAAGCAAAAACAAATAAGAGTAGGAGTCAGAAAAAAAAAAGGCTACAATAATCCTAGAGAGGCTTGTCTATTTCCTTCTTTTCCTCAGAGGCACGTGTGAAAGCAGAGGCTGCAAAAGCTGAAGCACGAAGGTTGGAGGAGATTCAGAGGAGGAACCAGCAAATGATGGAGGAGAAGGAGAGACTCCATCAGGAACAACTCAGACAAATAGAAATAAACGAGGCCAACCGGCGAGCAGCACAGGCAGAGCGACTAAGGGCCCTAGAGCGGGAACACCAGGTACTCATCAATGTTTTCATCTCAAGATTTTAATCATCTGCCCCTTCTCTGTAACGATGAAAGCCTTTAACTTGCAGTTGTTTCATCCAGTCTTTAAGTTGTGCCATCACTCAGTAAGCAGTAGTTCTTATTTACCCAGCACCGTACAAAGCACTTGGCATGTGTACTCACTTCCATTCACTGTGAAGCAGAACGGTCGTGCAAATTGATGATGTTCCAAATAAATAAATAAATGTCGATATCACAAAGCCTAGCAAGTCATACATACTGCCTTCGCGGTGAATGAGATCTGCAATGTTTTTGCTTCTACAGACGTGGTGTGCAATTCTTGTGAGCACTTTTAGGAGACACACACCATCTTAAGACGATCTCCCTTTGCTTGCCAGTCTACCTGTAGGTACAGGTTTTTCAGGAGCTACTCAAAGATGTTTTGGAGATTGCAGCTCTTTTCTGTAGGGCTGGATGGGTAACCTGTGGTTTTTGATCACCTTGGTCTATTCTTCTACTTCTGCCACCCAAACTGGAACAAATTCCCTTGAGGAAGCCTCAGAAACCTCATCTGATTTTAGACATCACCTAGATATTCTGTTTGTATCAGCCTCTTCTTTTAGAATTATACCTAAAAGGCCTGTGTATAAATGAGAACTGAAGTGAAGATGTCGCTAACATTCTCAAGGAGATTGCGTAGGTATAAAGAGGAAGGGAGCTTCAGGGTGGAATTCTGGAAACACCAGCATCTCAGGAATGGAGAGATGATAATATTTCTGGAGCTAGAAAGAGAGATGGAGGGTGACTAATTAGAGAAATAGGTTAGATGTGCATGAATGTAAGAGATATTCAGGAGTTGTTTGTTGTTACCATTAGGTTAAATAAATAAAAACGCATCATTAATTTAGGTAATCAGAAAAAAGATTGACTTTCCTTTTTTAAAGATTATCAATTTTATTTATCGCTCTTTAGAAACAGGCTGAAGAACTCAAGAGAAAACTCGAAGATGACAGAAGAAAACTGGAAAATGAGCTATTGAATCTCCAGAGGACTGCTCACTCAAATAATGACCCATGTATCTTACTTTGAAGTATTAAAGACAAGAGCTTTTTTTTCTAACTCCTTTTCACTAAAGACACAAAGAGATGAGAACTTACAGGACTTGGGACAATCAGCATTGAAATAAAGTTAATAATTTTTATATCAAATTTTGTATAAAGTTATAAGGTCATGATGCTAATAACCAGTAAAATGTACATCTCAGTCCAATCGTTAAAATAATTGCTTCCTTAAGGAGATTATGAATTGTATACTAATGGACATTTTATGACTGCCTTCATTTAGGGGTGATATTGGGTTGATTCCCTCAGGAGAAGCTTTCTCTTGCATCCCAATCCTGTCTGTCTAATATCTCTTGTTTGTCTGAGTATCGAGTTAACCTAAGAGGTGTTATCCTCATGGGCTCAATCAAATGGAACTTGACCTTCATCAAATTTCCTGGTTTATTCAGTACTGGGAACTCTGGTGGTAACTGATCTATGTGGACACCATCAATAGTAGAGTGATGACTTGTTTGAAAAAGGTGGTGACAACTCTGGCCCAGTGTGAGAACTCAGTGGCTGTGCGGAAGGCAGCCAACCACTACAGCCTGCAGATGATCCCGTGAGTGAGATTCCCGCCTGACATTCTTCAGGATCCATTGGACGTACATGTAGCCTATGAAAGGGAAGCCATTATAGTTATTGTGGAACACTCCTTAAGAATGAGGAAAAAACTTGTAATGTATCTTGATATTAATTCTTTCTAATTTTTGTGCTTCTAGAATAATACTTAGGGTCTGCATGTTTTATCACATGATTCATTTCTTTTTTTTTTTTTTTTTTTTGAGAGGTTTTCGCTATAGGGCGCGTGCGCTCGCCAGACAGACAGAGAGAGACATAGAGACAGAAAGCGAGAAATCACCCCCCAGGGGGGATGGTCACGCCGCAATCCCTTCTCCTCCATTCTCCTCTCGGGATCTTGGGCACGCACGCACACGCGCCCGGCGTGAGATTTAAGCCACCGGGTCCGAGACGCGAACCGCAGTCGACTACGTGGGAGTCCAGCGACATAGCCATTATGCTAACTGCTGGTTCCCATCACATGATTCATTTCTTTTTTTTTTTTTTTGAGAGGTTTTCGCTATAGGGCGCGTGCGCTCGCCAGACAGACAGAGAGAGACATAGAGACAGAAAGCGAGAAATCACCCCCCAGGGGGGATGGTCACGCCGCAATCCCTTCTCCTCCATTCTCCTCTCGGGATCTTGGGCACGCACGCACACGCGCCCGGCGTGAGATTTAAGCCACCGGGTCCGAGACGCGAACCGCAGTCGACTACGTGGGAGTCCAGCGACATAGCCATTATGCTAACTGCTGGTTCCCATCACATGATTCATTTCTTTTTTTTTTTTTTTGAGAGGTTTTCGCTATAGGGCGCGTGCGCTCGCCAGACAGACAGAGAGAGACATAGAGACAGAAAGCGAGAAATCACCCCCCAGGGGGGATGGTCACGCCGCAATCCCTTCTCCTCCATTCTCCTCTCGGGATCTTGGGCACGCACGCACACGCGCCCGGCGTGAGATTTAAGCCACCGGGTCCGAGACGCGAACCGCAGTCGACTACGTGGGAGTCCAGCGACATAGCCATTATGCTAACTGCTGGTTCCCATCACATGATTCATTTCTTTTTTTTTTTTTTTGAGAGGTTTTCGCTATAGGGCGCGTGCGCTCGCCAGACAGACAGAGAGAGACATAGAGACAGAAAGCGAGAAATCACCCCCCAGGGGGGATGGTCACGCCGCAATCCCTTCTCCTCCATTCTCCTCTCGGGATCTTGGGCACGCACGCACACGCGCCCGGCGTGAGATTTAAGCCACCGGGTCCGAGACGCGAACCGCAGTCGACTACGTGGGAGTCCAGCGACATAGCCATTATGCTAACTGCTGGTTCCCATCACATGATTCATTTCTTTTGGATATGGTAAGTAGCCTGAATTCTCGTGATTGACAGGGGTCTACAGGGCTACCATTCACCTTTTTTCCTTAAAAGATGAGTTCTGGATTTATTTTTATTGTTGCATATCAAATTACCATGGCTTTGGCTGTTCAAAACAACAGAAATATATAAGCTCACCATTCTGAATACAGAATCTGGTTGAGTTGGCTAGATGATCTGTTGAAGGTACCTGTCAGCCCCATTGAATTCTTAACTGCAGGTTCCAGGAAGCCTCCATGATCAAGCTCACTCGGGTTGTTGACAGATTTCAATCCCCTGTGTTATAAGTACAAGAAAAAACTGTCTATATCTTTACTCAAATACTGACAGGAAGGATTAATGAAGGGTTCTGCTATGGTTTAAATGTCTCCCCAAAATTCATGTATTGAGATTTGGTTGTGATGATAGTAAGAAGGCGAAAACTTATCCAACTCTGCTGTTGAAAGATGAGGCTTTGGGGAGGAGGTTAGGATTTAATCATTAGGACAGGGTCCTATTATCCTGACTGGTTGGTTTATAATGAGAGGGAATAGATGGAGACCCACAGATACAGATGTGTGTGCCCCTGCCTTCTACAGTGTTGTAATGCAGCCAGAGAACCTTCATCAGATGTGATGCCTCAATCGTCGACCACCAAACCATGAGCTGAATAAACTCCATTTTTATAAATTACTCAGGTTCAAGTATTCTCTGTTATTAGCAACAGAATAAAATAATAGTAACAGATATAAGAACAGCTTGCAAATCCAATACTTAAATCATTATTTGGTCAGTTGATTTTTTGGAGGGAAGTATATGTTTTCATGCATAGCAACACAAATCTTCTGTGGCAGCCCTACTATCAAATACTTTCAGCTTTCTGTTGTTCATTGTTGATGGTTAGAGCACTATTTATCACAGAAAAAAAAACAAAAGAAGCATGCACTCATGGTGTTTGACTCCTCCATCATTTTATAGAGAATGAGGCTGGCTTCACAGAAATTAAAGAATTGTTCAAGATCATACAAAGAATTGGTCCCAACTGGGACTAAAAAAAAAATCTGAATCCCAGTATATTTTCCTTGTCCCAGTCTACAATGAGGCTGCGAGATTGCATCTTCCAAGAGAATCACATTGAACTTCCCTTCTAACACCGGCATTCTTTTATCTGTCTACATTTCCCTGGTAGAACAGCAAAGAATGAAAATATCTTGCTGCATAATGAAGAGGCATCTATATTGTCACCATGAGTTTAAGTAGTTTTCAAGGTCCCTGATGGAAATTATTTCAAAAGAAATGTTATTACTGGAGAAGGAATGGAGGACAAAAAAAGTACAAACAATCTCTGCTTTTTTTTAAAGAGGTTTTTGCCTTAGGGTGTGTATGCTTGCTGGAGAGAGAAAGAGACAGAGACAATGAGAAGGAAAGTGAGAAATCATTCCTCAGGGGAGAGGCCATGCTGCAAATACTTCTCCTCCATTCTCCTACAGGATCTTAGGCACGCCTGCACAAGTGCCCAGCATGTTTCAAGCCTCCAGGTTTGGGACTTGAACTAGACACATGGGAGTCCACATGTGACCTAACTGCTATGCCATCTGCTAGCCCCAACATTCTCTACTTAGAAGCAAGAGAAGTTTTAACTGGACTATAACCGAGTGCTAGGGAAAGGAGTAAAGATGAAGGATGAGAAGTGGAGAGGACTGGCCACGGAGTAGAGCCAAACATGGCACTAAGAAGGATTAACATGTACAGCATTATTGCATACACAATTTCTAGTCTTCAATCAAGGTATAATCCCTACTTTCTGTTGCCAGACATTTTCAAGGTACTTTTTTGTTGACATCTACTCAGGAATTCCTCCTTGTCAACAACCACCTCTACATCTGCAGGTACCCAAAGAAGTTGCTTTATTTTCATTTGCCTTACCTCATAGAGACATTCCTCACAATGTTCTAAAAAATGGCCAGGGAAAAGAAAACAAAAATCTAGTCATCATGTAGGGTTTTCATAGTGGAGGACTCACATCTATATCTGAAGGGGAGGCAAGAATATTTCTCCATCAGTTTTGCTACAATAAGTCTCCGCGACATAATCCCAATATGTGAGCGGTTTATAGAAACATTTATTTCTTGCTCATGTAATTCATATTGACTTCAGTAGCTATGCTCTATGCTATGTGTTAAATTCAAATCTATTACATATGTACTTTTCAGTTGTGATGGACTTGAATAGCAATTCCTACCTGTGGTTTCCTATCCTCATTCTGTGCAAATGGGGTTAGTGGGAACCTGCAATGTCTTTTGAAAACTCTTCTCTGGAATACTGCACTGTACTTTCTATCCACATTTCATTCACAAAACAGATCATATAGTCAATTTCATCATAAAATAGTGGGGAAAATAATTATTTACTGAGAGAGAGTAAAAAGGGATGATAAATATTCAATATTTCAAATACCAGAGTATTTCCATATTTGATTGAAAATATGGAAAAATTAAATCTACAACATGAGGATTTGACCTAGCTAAGACAAGGAGAATGTCAAACAGTTAATGGTAACCCATTATATGCTGTAGCTGATCAGGGATCTTATTAACTAGTCTGTTTTAGTTTAGCTTATAATGTATGAACAACAATATCTCTAGACTCAGTCAATAAATCAGCCTTTATCTCTTCAATCTCATAAAAGATGGAGACTAAATGGTGTGGAAATCAACATGTGCTGGCTGTCTGGTAATATCTACTTGTGATTAAATTGAAAGGATAATGAAATTACTGGAAATATGTTTAGTTTATTGTTGGTTGTGCCAGTTATGTACTAATTTTGGAGACATTTAATATATGGTGCACCACACTGACGATCTTGTTAACGTGCACAAAGAACTGACCTGAGAGCAGTTATTGCCATTTTAATAACTGCAGTCTCATTTCTTGAGGGAAAAAAACAGTGACAAACCTAAAAGTTAGTTGGCAAAGCCTTATATACAGATGGAGAATCCTCCCCACTGTCTTGAAAAGTAGTCCTCACAGAAAGTAACATTTTAAAGGAGTTATTTTCTCTTGAGAATTAAAACTAATTCCAGGAAGTCTTATTTGCAACAGAAAGGAAGGAGTTTATAGAACCATGCTGTTCTAGTTCATTCTCTTGGTAGTAACAGATACCTTGGTAGTAACAGACACAGGTTCTTTGCAACTTAAAAGAACAGGCTTATTTAGCTATGGTTTGGGGAGAGGGCAGGGTAAAGGGGTCACATCTGGTGAGGGTCTTCTCATCCTCTGCCAGAAAGATAGAGGGCAAGACAGAGCAAGGACAGAGCACAGCATGTCTATCTTTTTCATTCCTTTTTCTAAAAACCTACCAGGACACAACTGTGGGAGCCCTACTTTGATACCCAAACCCTTCTCTAAGGCCCTACCTTTCACAATAATAATTGAATTAAGTTTCCATACTCAATATCATTATAGTGGCTCACCAAATTTTAGTGCATGGTTTTTGGAAGGGTACTTTCAAACCATAGCTCACATCTAGGCCATCTTCAGTAAAAATAGCAGAGTCTAAGAAAAACAAAGCATTCATGCAAGCACAAAGTTGAAGTATTAGTGTACACAAAGCCCTAACACAAGGACTATGACAGAACACCTATGTGCCTGTAACAGAG